TCTTCATTACACGTTTATACTCATTTTAACCTTGACGAATAAGAAACATTGAGCTGTTTTAGGTGAGCAATAAAGTAAGTTTACACCGCGTAGTAATGCTTAAAAAAATTAAAAAAAAAGTCAAACTATTTATTTAACGTAAGTTCGTCTGGCGTTGACACAATCCCGACAGCCAGGTAACATTAGTGACATTAGTGACATTAGTATAATGTTACTTGTAGTCGATAGTTAACTTTAACGTTTCATTACCTTTAGCAGTAACGTTACTAGCCTAGCCTCAGTCTTATTACGTTCACGTTGAAGCTGTTCGGTGGGTTTAAAATGTGCGATACACTATCTATTATAAACAGTTTATTTATTAAATTACACAAATTTAGATGACGGTTCTTAATTAACGCCGGGGGCTCCAGCAAGTAGACACAACCCAAATTGAAAGCTCGACGGCTGGCGACGGCTAAACATCGGATCAAGCTAGCAGCTACTGCCGCTAGCTCTTAGCAATAAGCTCCGCCATCCGACTTACCATCTTCAAAAAGAGTTCTGCTAGGATGATGGATGTCTGCCTGGTTTCAGATATGAGGAGACTTTTCCGTAATGTGTGAAAAAATATCTTTGCTGAAAACTTAGCCGGGTCTTACTGGTTACTGTTCTTTTCTTCTTTTGGTTGACACAGGAACAAAAATACGACGCTCCGTTTAACCTACAACCACAGACCAATGGGCATCTTAGCGACATGGCACGTCACAAAGCGTGAGCCAATGGCGAGGCGTTGTTGTCGTCGCGTCACAGCTGGGCGGCCAATCAGACACGCAGAATCGAAAACATGACTGATGCTCGTCAGCCATTGGCCCGTTTGAAAAACTCACATCCTCCCCGAACAATACTGAGAATATAAATCTGTTAAATGAAATACAACCACCGCACCAGAGTCAGGAGAGAAAGTCTCACTGGTTCATTTAAAAAGAGAAGCTGGGGAAGGGAGAGCATTGTCTGTAAGGGAGTAATTGATTAGCAGAGTGGGACTGATACACGGACAACTGAATCTAAAATTGCAGCCCACCTCAAACCATGAAGATGAAAAGTTTGACCAAGAAAGCAGCAAAAGCAGACACAGTTCATACTAGTTAAGATAAAGGCAGGCATTTACCGGACACACACATACAAAAACTGGGTTATAACAACAAACGTTCTGTATATATATATATGTTGTGTACGCAGAAAGTTTTTTGCCAATGACCAAAATTGTCAAACATCATAAAACCCACTCACAACAGTAACATATAATAACTGTAAAATGTAAACATATATATCTATGATATGAATTGGCCACTTTTTACAACCTGAATTCTGTTATTTTCTGTTGTGGTCGTGGATGTTGGGTAGCAAGATGCAGGAGTTGAGTTGACCAACTCAATTAAAACATCATCATCACAAAAACAACTCCAAGACAAACATCTAAAAAGTAGTAAGTAGAAATACATTACAATAATATAGTGAGATTTTTTGTTCTAGCTGTCCCTGAAAACATTTGCATCCTTTGTCATGACTTTAATTTACAACAATACACACAAACAAGATACAAGATACAGCTAAAAGTACTCATTCTGAAGAGTATTTCTGCACATAAAAGTGGAAGTGACAACACCTGCAAATTAGTAGTCCCAACACTTCCAGGCCTTGATTATTAATGTATTTTAATTTACAATCCTGACAATCAATCACTGTAACTTTAGAATATTTCAGGAGGAGCCTGATGGTCAAGAGTTATGAAACAACAATATCTTATAGCTACTGTCAGAAATAATCTGACTAACTTTATTACATTATGATACACACTTGATATACACATACAACGTCTGATCTTCAGCTTCACAAATATCTCTAGAAATGGATCCAAATTATCAATAAGATACTTATAGAACTCTTTTCTTTTTAAAATCCATCAGAGCATATTTTAATTTGTATATTTTGTCTTATTTATATTGTAGTTGTTTTATGTAATAACATATTTTATCTTTAAGACAGTGCATTTATTTTATATTATTTAGGTAGAGGTAATCAGCTCTTTTATTTCTCCATCTTCACATTAATTTATGCTTTATACTGAGTTAGGGTTACCCTAACCCTCTTCTAAATCTCAAGCTCTTATAAAAAAAAAGAGAATCAGATCAATTAATCAATGTAAGACACAAACCACTGCAGCAGCTAAATATATAGAACACAATACAATATAATATAAAAGGTGACAAATGCGGTGAGTAATAGTAAAATGTATGTACTGTATGTTAAACAGTTTGTACACTTATATATTAAATTAAATGTATATGCATAATGAAAAGAGGTTGTAGGATATAAAGGTACTGTGATGGATAAACAGCTCATAAACAGATAATTATTAATATATATATTAAAATCATTACATTAATGCACCCACGTTC